CTCTCACTATCTACCTCCGCTTTCTGCTTTGGGAGGCTTCCTGCCGCTGTTGTTACAAAGTGTATTGAATGCCTGGCATAACATGAGGGAATCTATGTGTTTTTTGTAATTAAACTTTCTATAATACACGGTTGTTTATATTTATCCTTTGAGATTTGATAGGAGATATATGTCTTTATTGTTTGTTTTTACAGTGTTGTCGGTTTTCTTAATATATATATATATATATATATATATATATATATATATATATATATATATATATATATATATATGTATATATATACATGCATATATATACATATCTATATCTATATCTATCTATCTATCTATCTATCTATCTATCTATCTATATATGTATATATATATATATATATATATATATATATATAGATATATATATATATATATATATATATATATATACATGATTCGCTTTTTGATCAATAAGAAATCAAATATATTTCAGATATGTTTCTCCTTTCTCTTTATTTTTCTCATATCTTGCATCAGTTCCTCTCTAGCTTTTATAATTTCGTTTTTTATGTTTGTTTCTTCAAAAAAAAAATCAAATATATTTTTTCTCATTTATAACTGGCGCGTTTGTCATTATGTTTACTAATTCCAATGAATACAAGATTAGCAGCGGCGAAAAAATGGAATTAATTAAAAATGGAGACCAAGAGAGAGACACACAGACAGCAGACAGACACAGACAGAGAGAGACAGAGACAGAAGCAGAAAGAGATACAGAGACAGATAGACAAAGAGACAGACATAGACAGAGAGAAACAAAGGCAGAAACAGAAAGAGATACAGAGACAGCCAGACAGAGAGAAAGAGACAGAAACAGAAAGAGATACAGAGACAGACAGACAGAAAGAGAAAGAGATACAGAGACAGACAAACAGACAGAAAGAGAAAGAGAGACAGAAAAAAAGACAAAGAAAAAGAGAAATAGAGACAGAAAAAAACAAAACACATAACCAAACAAAACCAAACACAGAATAAACAAACAAACAAACGCAAAATCCTTAAAACACTGAAGGACAGTACAACAAATAGAACACAAACAAACAAACAACACAAACAATTGACCCATCGCCCCATGACGTAACACTTCCTGAGTCTTTTGTGTTGCTAATCTATGTTGCAACAAGGACTCCCTTAAGAACGTTCTCAGGAGGCCACGGAATCTTGCAATATTCATGACAAGGTGAAGAAAAGACGTGAAAATTGTCGCCATTGCATGATAATGTGACGTCATTTGTATCGGGTGCTGGCTTGGTAGTCATGCAATCTTGGGTTACCTG